GAATGATTATTCTCCCAAATTTGACCTGTAATAAAATATGGAATTGTGTAGCGGAATGAGTTTGTTATATTATATAAGAACAAACAAATTCTTTTATCCTCAATCCCATTAATCTGTACTATATTATAAAGCATTTGACAAAAACTCTTAAAAATCATCTTTTATGCATAAAATATTGATTATTGATGCATATTACTTAAAATTCAAGATTACAAGTAGATTATGCATAAATACAACTTATTAAAACTCCATGTTTAAATTTGTGGAACTAATTGTAGATAAACATAATTAAATACATGATAAACATCTCATTTTAAATATAAAAAATATAAAATATAATTAGGATAAACAGGGAGTTCTAACAGAATATTTGATTATTATTTTTATAGAAAAATTAGATTCTTAACCAACAATAAAAAAAACTTCGTTATTAAACATAATTTAAATTGTAATAACTTTTAAATAACTAATTTCATACTAATATCGATATAATTTTTTTCAAATTAATATTTTATTTGAAAATAAAAACATTGTTGTGTTCTCAAAAGCACATGAAATCGTATAATAACATAGATAAGAACACAGAATAAAAATGAAACATTAAAATCGAAATACATCTTCCTACATTACACGAATACCCTTCTAATTGGTCTTAATACATTTAACCAAACATCACCAATTAGTCTTGATATATTTAATTAAACATCACCTCACTTATGTATCACTTACGTATATGTTAAACATATGTCACTTATCTATTGACTATATGATAAATTTAAATTTCATATGCATATGATTAGATCCGTTATCAAAGATAAGATAGTCAATTCAATAAATATCTTCAAAAAAATAATAATCCAAATTACCAACTTTCCAAATCTCAAATGGTATCCAATAGATTATTATCCTTTCTCCCCACTATCTAGGCAATTTAATTAAATTGTCTTACAAAACCAAAATATCTGTTTGGTAGAGTGATTTCTTTTAGTTTGGTGAATAAGGGGATGTTTATCAAACACTTATCCGGTAAGTGTTTATCGGTAAAATTTAATATTATTATTTACTTATCGGATAAGATATTGGTCCACCAAAATGACATTGTATGGAACAATTTATCCGGGTAAGCGCTTACTGTGGTAAGAGTCGTTTCTCTCACTTACCGACTGAGACTCTTGGTCCTTGTCTCGCTCTTACCAGGTAAGATTCTTGATCCGGTGAGGTAGTGTGACTTGGTAACCACTTACCCCGGTAAGCGTTACCATATTCATCCAGTGAGGTAGTGTGACTTGGTAACCACTTACCCGGGTAAGCGTTTGGTAAACAGCTCCTAAATTGTTAGAAAATATAATGAAGTTTTTTATTATATTTGTAAATTGTAATAATTGTTATAAAAAGTCGTTAAAAATTAAACAAAATAAAAGGAACATGATGTTAATTTATCAGTTTTGTTACAATTCAATATTGATCTAACAACAATGTTGTTAGCTTATGGGATCCACAGAAGAAAATGAAATTTAACTGTAGCCTAACCGAGGATTCAAATGGAACAGGGTCGATTAGGCGATAAATATTGCATTTTGACGATAAATATTGAATCTTTATGACGACTGAATATGAAAAAGTTGCAAACTTTACGCCTCAAACAATATATACGTGATTGCTTAGATCAATATCTAAACTTATGAATGGGTTTACTTTGGTGCAATTGCTAGTTATTCACTATCAAAAGTGGAAGTAACAACAAATGGTTATACCTTTAATTGTGAAACCTAACCAATTAGGGTTCGGGGCTTAAAAGGGAAGATGCCTAGCGACATCCCTCTTGCCATACATGAGGGATATATCATGTCTCTTATAATTCAAGTGCCATTTTATTGGTATCGTTAATATCCATAGATTATTTTGTTATTAATTACTTGATTAGAGTTAGCATCAAACAAAGTAACTTAACCATACTAGACTTCAAAATCATCAAGTCAAAAGACATTTAATTATTATACTATGGCCATATAAAAAACATGTATGAGACTCATTGACATCTCATATATTGTTATATTGGTATAAAAAACATGTATGAGACACATTGACATTTAATTATTATACTATCACCTAGATTTAATTGGTATATTCTTGACATGCTTAAGGCATATGAGACATCATGACGAGTACATATCATGACATACATAATTGATCTAATTTCCAAAACAGATGGTATCTCATAAATACATTCCTTATCTTTAGGAAAGTAGGACATTGTGCCTGAAAAAGGTATATGCTATGTGTTATAAGCAAGAACCATTTCTTGGTTTCATATGTGCTAAAAACCTCTTTTGCACTTTGCAAAGATACGTATTCTAATCTAGGCACAAGCTTTAAATCCATCTTTATAGATCCCAATGCCTAATGCATAGGAAACATCTTCTATGTTCTTCGTAGAGAATAAATTCCCTAACCATGTCTTGACAGACGGTGTCGAGATATCATTTAATAAAATTACTATGTCATCTATACACAAAATTAAGAAAATAACTATGCTCCCACTAATCTTCATGTAGACACATGGTTTATCTTCAGTTTTGATAAGAAAAAAACTAACTCCTTAATTTCATCAGCATAGCAAGGATTCAAGCTCCTATAAGTTTCTTTTAATTTGTATATGACATTTGCAACTTGTATTCCTTATGATATTCTTTAGGAGTGACAAAACCCCTGACTTGTGTTGTATACACATCCTCTAGTATATATCGATTAAATAACGTATATTTACCCAGTCTCATTTATTCATACGATTAAAGCTAGTAGCATTTAATGAACTTAATCTTGTCAAACACTGAAGCTCTTTAATCATAGTCAAAATCACCATGCACTTATGGAAATCCTTTTTGCTACCAATGGACCTTTGTAGGCAATTACATTACTATTGGAATATGAAAAGAATCTTTGATTAGGCCATCAAATGGTACTTATATGATGAAGACCTCCACCTCCATCTCCGTCGAAAGAACCAACCCAATAATTTGTCCAGTGCTCGAATTCGATACAACCCTAAGGATTTTTTGTTTATGGTCTAAAAACATTGAACCAAAGAAAGGTAACAATGTGTGACGATTGTTTGTTGTGTGTATGTATGTATGTATATATATGGGGCTGTGAACGAACCGAACGAACACGAATAGAGGCTTGTTCATGTTCGTTCGTTTAGTTTAACCGAACAAACGAACGAACAAGAACGGTAAACGAACGAAAATAATTTTGTTCGTGTTCGTTCATTTAGAAATCAGGTGTGTTCATGTTCGTTCGTAAACATGCTAAACGAACGAACATAAACAATTGGGTTAAACGAACATAAACGAACATGCCTAAACGAACATAAACAAACATGTCTAAACGAACATAAACAAACACACACCAATACTTGTCATTTGATTAACTATTACATACCAATTATCCATAGTTTAAACATACACAAAACAATCACCATTCATCAACCATAATTAATATACCAATACTTAAAAGGCCCAATACTTAAAAGGCTTTTTAAAATTTGAATTCAAACTAAATAAATCAAAGTTATATATTAAAATTAATATATAAACGAACATAAACGAACGTAGATGAACGTAAATGAACGAACGTTCACGAACATAAATGAACGAACGAGACTATTGTTCATGTTCGTTCGTTTAACTAAACGAATAAATTTTTTTTATTTATGTTCGTTCATTTATTAAATAAACGAACATAAACGAATTTCCCGCCAAACGGTTCGCTGAAGTTCGGTTTGTTTACAACCCTATTTTATATATATATATATATATATATATATATATATATAAGTAATAAGTATATAATATATGTCAGTGTACATATGTGTGTTTTTGATATAATTATATAATATTCTTTTATTTTTTAATAAGAAAATAACAGAAAAATGTAAAATGACTACAATACCTCTACCTTAAAGGGATTTAACAGATTTTTTTAAATCTCCGTTAGCCTCAAGACTAAATGCAAGCAATTTTACATATCACAAGGGTTCTTTCATCTTTGTAATACATATTAATCGAGAAAAACAAAAAGCCATAAGGACCAAAATTGAAATTTACTCTTCATATAATATATATTTTTATTTTACTAATTTAACTCATTATTAATAAGATATTAGTAAAATTATACAAGTATACAACCCTTACAGGATCGTTAAATTATGGGTGCAAAGTTTCAAACTTTATATTTAATAGGGTGCAAAGTGTAAATATTAAAACGACGGCAGATTTTAATAATCGGACTATTTCCTCATATAGCTTTTCAGCTTTTCTTTCTAAAAATGGCTTCCCTTCCCCCTTTTTCTTCCCTCCACCCGGCGGGCCGCCGCGAATACGTCTAAAGTTCGGTTGCTCAGCCTACCGCCATCTGCTCCCTGCTTATGATTTGATACGCATTTTATGAATTCTTGTAGAAACCTTTTTTTTGTTGAAAACTCTGTGCTTAGGTACTGAAAATATTATGTAGCACTTCGCAGTTTCAGTCTACAGCTCTATTGTATGTGTTATTTCAATCTTATTTGATGGATTCTTGTTAATTTATCAATGGGATATGTTGTATTTGGTTTGTTTGGGTTCTATTATCTTTTCTCTTACTTGGAATTTTGATGCATTGCGAATTTACCGTCTTACCATCTTTTAAGTGTAAGTATCCACCATGGAAGTCCCTGATTCATATTCGGAACTCATAATCGTTATGGACATCATAAATGCCTAAATGTTTTTGGTTAATTTAATCATATCATATTCATGTTGAAGCACCTAGGTGCAAGAATATGTAATTGTAATTGTAATTGGGGATTTTGGATTTGTGGCAGTTTACTCTATTTTCGTGAGAAAGTGCAGCAGGAATGGTTTATAATCCAATTGTTTGCTTAAGTCTATGCAGTTAATTCATGCTTGCAAGACTCTTCCAAATTTTTTTATTGATTTTAGTATCACCTTTTCTTTTCTTCAGATTCTCTGTGGTCTGGGATTGCGTTGGTAATACTAAATGTAACTGATCATCCTGTTTTGGACTTGGTAAGGGTATTCTGCCATCGATTTTGTTAAAACATTTATTACTTGCTCACCCAATGAACGGTAATTCTTGAAGTACCATGGATAATCTAATGGCAAAGAGGACGAGGAGGTTTTTGCACACCTGCAGTGAATAGTGGTCATAGTCTTCCTGTTAGTGATAGTAAGTTCATCGATATAAATTATTTACTTCTAATTCGAGTTGCTCATTTGTTTCAGTTCTGTGATCTATCCATGTATCTTTTTAGTTGATTCATTTGATTCAATAATTGGTACGGGGTACGGCCTGCAAATGATTTAGTGGATTGGGTTTTGATGGTTGCCAAGTTAGTAGGTGTTGTCTGGTGGTGGGTATTGGTAACTTGTGAAAGATATCACTGGCGATGAAACTGCAACGTCATTTCATGTGGTTGTAAAATTAGTTGCTTGGAGAAAGGTAGATAAACCGGACTGCGGGCCCAGTAGTTCTACATTTGGGCAAGGTTGGCTTGTGTGGAACTAATTGTTGCAATTCATTACTTAAAAAGTATTTACAAGCTCCCGAGTTTGTTTCAAATGATTCAGCCTTGAGCAAAACAAAATTAGTTTGGTGAAGCTTGATTTGTTATTGAAAATCATATATTCAACTATAATGCCATATAACATTTAGGCCATGCTCATTTGGTTGTTCAAACTTTATACAGTTGAATCTTGTATCTTTTAGACCTCATAATATAAATGGTTTATCAATCTATTTAGTGTGTATGAGAAAATTGGTGTCTTTATCAAACTACTTTTATTTGTGAGCCTTAATAACCTTGTGACCTATGTTCAGCCTTTCAGCAAAGCTTGGCCGGGATCTTTCCTTGGTAAATGAGCTAACTTGATAATCTTATGTAGTAACATATATGAATTCAATGGAACTAGCACTCTGCTCAGGTGGGTTCTTTTGTAGTTGTAGAGATAGAATGGGGCATACTTGCGTAGTGACTGTGATGTTAGATGAACGAGGATCTTACAGCACTGATATGCACTATCATAATATAGAAAACTTCGGGTTCTCATTTGCCTTTTCTCCCTCCCCTTGGGTCTTATGAGACATAAATTGTGACTGATGATTTTTGTTTTTCCTCAGGTGGGATATTTATTATGGATCTAAGGTTTCGTCACTCCGGCTCTACGCCGTCTGAGGAATCAGCCTTGGACTTGGAAAGAATTTGCTGCAACCACCTTAATCTGCCTTCATCGAGTCCACCTTTACAATCTTTTACTACCACATCAGCTGGTCAGGTCTCCGAGAGTAATGCTGCATACTTCTCATGGCCTACTTCTAGCCGATTAAATGATGCTGCCGAGGACAGAGCTAATTACTTTGGAAATCTTCTGAAGGGAGTTTTGCCTGAAACTCTTGGCCGGCTGCCAACTGGACAACGAGCTACTACATTGCTTGAACTCATGACAATAAGGGCATTCCATAGCAAAATCCTGCGCCGATGTAGTCTTGGCACTGCAATTGGGTTCCGTATCCGACGGGGGTTACTGACAGATATACCAGCCATTCTAGTCTTTGTCGCTCGTAAGGTTCACAGGCAGTGGCTCAGCCACATTCAGTGTCTACCGTCTGCTCTTGAGGTGTTTTAATTTTCATGCCTTTAAAATTACTTTTTAATGTCATCAACATTTGGTGTATGATTTAGTTATGAGTGTCTTGAGTAAATTACGTATGATTTAGGTTAAGTCTTTGTGCATCATAACCTCCCTAGACCCTACTCTATGTGGGGTTCACTGAGACGGTTTGGTTCTTTTTGTCTTGAGTAAATTACTTTAAGTTTCTTGTATCTAGATGTAATTTGGACATGTGCTAGTTATTGTGCAATGTTTTAGTTCTTCTAAGTAGTATTTGGTATGGAGACAGGACAAGAGAGTAGGACTGGACAGGACTGGACTGGACGGGATAGAACAAGTGTATGTCTGGTGTTTGGTACGACTAGGACTGGACAGGACAGAACTTGACAAGTTACCCCCAAAAGTTATTTGATGATTTTAAATATTATATAATAATTATAATTAACACAAATAAAGTAAATACTTAAAGAACTTAATTTATAAATATTTTTGTACGATTTTCATATAAATGAATACATACATATATAATGGTACCTAATTTGAATGAAAAACTTGATATAATTGATGGTAATAGTAGTGGTGGTGGCCGACGATAGTAGTGGCGATGGGCGTTGGTGGTCGGTGGCCAACGGTGGTTATGGAGGTAGAGATAGAGGCAGTGGTGGTTGATGGACGACGGTGGTTATAAAGGACGTGAAGATGGTGGTGGCGGTTGGCAATGGTGGAGGAGGTAGTTGTGGCTGATGTAGTGAAGATATAGGTGGTGGTTATGGTGGAGGTGAGCTGACAATGGACGGTGGTAGTCGATGGTTGACGGTGGTTGTGGAGGTCGTGGAGGAGGTTGTTGTAGTAGAGGAGTTGGAGGTGGTCAACGGTGGTAGTGGTGGTGGCAATGGATGGTGGTTATAGAGGTGGCAATGGACAGTGTTGGTCGGTGGTCCACGATGGTTGTGGAGGTCATGGAGGAGGTTGTTGCGGTATAGGAAGAGCTAGAGGTGGCCAACGGTGTTAGTGTTGGTGTTCGATGGCCGATGGTGGTTGTAAAGGTGGCAATGGACGGTGGTAGTCGGTGGTCGACGGTGGTTGTGGAGGTGGTGAAGGAGGTTGTTGTAGTAGAGAAGGAGTTGGAGGTGGCGCACAACGGTAGTGGTGGTGGCAATGGATGGTGGTGGTCGGTGGTCGACTATGGTAGAGGTGGTAATGGACGATGGTGGACGGTCGTTATGGAGGCGATGGTGGATGTTGTTGTAGTGGAAGAGGAGGTGGAGGTGGCCGCCGGTGACAAAACTAGCGGTGATGACCATTAAAACAAATACCATATTAAGGTTATATATTAAACTAGGGTAGATTAGTAATATTTTAGTTTATGTCTCATTCTTGTCCCATCTATTTTGGTGGAACAAGAAAAAGCCTCTTTTGTCCCATGCTGTCCCACTTTGTCCCTGTCCCATGTCATGCCAAACGTGGGACAGTGAGTTCTTGTTCTATCCCATGTTGCGCCAAACATGGGACAGTGAGTTTTGTCCCGTTCTGTCCTATTCCGTCCTGTCCTATCCCGTCCCATGTACCAAACGCAACCCTAATGTTATAGTGGAACTAGATCTTGAGCATAAGTTGATTCTTATTGTTGCTATCTTGTTAGCTTTATTAATAACGTCAGCTTGAACAGGGACCGGGAGGTGTGTGGTGTGACGTTGATGTAGTAGAATTCTCATATTATGGTGCACCTGCAGCAACTCCAAAGGAACAATTGTATTCAGAGCTTGTTGATGGTTTGCGTGGAAGTGATCCATGCATTGGTTCTGGCTCCCAGGTATCTCTCTACCAACCTCTTTCTAGAAGCACCCCTGAGTGTGTTCGATAACTGTGACTGCTGGTTCGTTATTTTTATTTTCCATTTTCTTTATCATGATGTTATGAGGTGTACTCCTATAGTTCTTGGTCTCTGATTCTTCTTACACTTCAATGAAATGTGTTGGTTCTTGACATAATTACGCGGGTTTCTGCTATTCTGCTTTAGCCAAGTAAAAGGAAAAAAGAACTTCTAGGCATATGAACTAATTGTTCAAGGGAAAAGAACAAGATAAACAAAGAGAAACATAAATCAGTCAAGGAAGAACCCTAGGTGGAATAGTTTATTGCTGCATCTTCAAATGTAAAACAGTATCAATATTGTATGTCCAAGTCGAACTCTGTATCCTGAGTATTGTCTAGTTGCCTTGTCTAAAGACCAGATTCCACGACCAGCCAAGGTGCCCCYTTTGCGATGCCTACACATGTGGAGCAGCCACATTATTTGCAATCTCCAAGGTTTACCATTGCCTTGCCACCATTAAACCGCTTAGATGCTTGGGTGATGCCTTTTTAAGTACGTAGATAACTATACATTGGAGGCTGTGAAATTTGTTGCCTTCTCCATATTGCTACTTATATTCCTGAGTATTGTCTAGTTGCCTTGTCTAAAGACCAGATTCCACGACCAGCCAAGGTGCCCCTTTTGCGATGCCTACACATGTGGAGCAGCCACATTATTTGCAATCTCCAAGGTTTACCATTGCCTTGCCACCATTAAACCGCTTAGATGCTTGGGTGATGCCTTTTTAAGTACGTAGATAACTATACATTGGAGGCTGTGAAATTTGTTGCCTTCTCCATATTGCTACTTATATATTTGCTTATTCTGCTGAAATATTATAGCATCAATAATTATTGTTGGACTTGAAATTTGTCCATGTTCAGTCCTACCTGTCCAAGTGGTTTACAATTTACATTATTTAGGTTTATGGCTTGTGTAGCCATCAAGTGTGCTTTGTGATCTATTGTTTGCACATTTTACAACGAAATCCCTGTCCCTCTCCTGCATCATCAATAGAGGGAGTTGAAGCTCTCACCCTACTAATGAGATGAGAACCGGCGTTGTACGACAGGAGATGGAGGAAATGATGGTACGAAGAAGGAGAAACCTACACGTATATAGTTTGATCTCATCAGACAATGTGATCGTGATCGTGATCGTGAGTTGTAGGTTTGTAGCCATAGTATAGCTGTTCATAGGCGGGATGACCCGCTAGACCCATCCTATCCTACCCGCTAGAAAAGCGGGCTTGGATTACCATTCTTGAAGAAATGGACGGCCCTGTACTGACTTGTTAAAATTAATGGGTGGACATGGGCAATGGAAAAAAAAAATTTGGGCAGGCCTGCCAGGCCATTAATATTTTTATAATAATTAACTTTTATAATTAAAATTTACAAATAAAATGGAAGATTCTTAATACTTACTTATTCCTACTTAATTATGACTCATGATAATAACATTCTTTAAAAATCTTAAATTTGAAAATATAATTACCTCAATTGATCAACTCCTTATTATCTCATTTAGGCATTTTTTTATCGGTACTTCGTATTTAGCGAACAATTTCTTTCTGAAGTATGTATATTGTTATGTATTTACGTCAAATTTTAAGTTAGAAAAATGTTATGTATCTTGAAATAATTTTACACAACTTGTGATTTTATATAAGTTTTGTTTTCATAAAAATATAACAAGATTTTTAAGCCCGTTAGCCCGTGGGCAAGCCCGGTCTGTTTATAGGGTGAGTATGGGTAAGTTTTCAAGTCCAAAAAACCGGGCTTGGTGTTACCATATAGGCCCGTTGGACAGGAAAATAGGTTAAGCCCGACCCAAGCCCGCAAATGATCAGCTCTAAGCCATAGTAATACACCTTCACAGTGGGCTACCATGTAACATACTATGATGGACTTATGTAGTCATTTGAATTGCCTGTTGCTTTGAAATTAAGGTCCTACGTATTGCTTCTCATGATGTGTTGGGGGATGTTCATGTTCATTTGATGATATCCCTTCGTAATGAGCTAAGCTTCTAAGGAAAGGCTGACCCCAAATGATAACCTAAAAACACAGAAACCATGATAAGAAGTTATTTAAGAGTTCGTTGCTACGGACTTACATAGATGTTAAATACCTTGTCACACCTTATGTCGGAAGAGAAACAACAATCTCCTTATTTAAGTTCCTATCATGACCATCAAATTACCTAGGCTCGACATGTCCTCGGATCATCATCCTTATTGAGAAATATAGGTACTTGACAACCTTGTTGTGGCAAGTCACCTTGTGAGTTCATTTTGAAGCCCTAAACCATTGTAAGCTTGGCTAAATGATAAGGACCTGGAAAACACAAAACACAATGGTGGAAGTTATTTAGTTGATGCACATGATGTTAAACTTTATGTTGCTTAAATTTCTATTGTTCTTGTTAGGCTCGTTAGGCAATTAATAGCATAACTATAGCCCTAGGGAATATGTAGGTCAGAACTCGTCATATCCAAGGGTTGTTGCTTATGTGTAATACCTGCCTAATAATATTCCAAGTCTAAAAGGCCATGGTCAGATATTATTTAGTAGCTCGTTAAGTAGGCCTCTTATAGAAGTTGCAATAACAATCACGATTGATGTGGGTTGAGAGAATATTCGTCACTGCGTGTTACATTCTTTGCCATGTAAAATTATTATGTCCTAGTCTTAGTATGAGAATGAAATATATGGTTACCAAAGTATATTGGTATCCATTGTGGCAAAATATTGGCACCATCTTAGTGCATGTTATGTATTGGTATCCAAGCCGATTACCAATATGGTCTGAATCATATAATCTGGCTTGGATACCATATATGACAGGATAGTCTCAAGCATCAGATTGTTCAAAGGGTGATTCCCAAGACTGGGAGACTAGGGTTGATAATAGATGACTAAGACTAGGAGATATGGTCACCGAGAATAAGAGAAAGCATGAAGAGTATGAATTTGAACATAAGAACAAACTTAAGAACAAAAGAGAATATATGGAAGAAACTTTTATTTCTTTCTCAGGATGATCTACAAATGAAGGGAGCCTTCCTTTTATAGGAAAGGAAAAGGTACCCTTGCATAAGCACTACATAAGCATGACAAAAGCAAGCTAACTGAGGTAAGCGCTTACATCACATAAGAGTGACTTAAAGCTTACATCATTTTTATATCATTATTTTGTTCTTTAGTCGAGACAATTATTAATATTAATCTATGATAACTACTTTCAACGAGAGTCAGGGTGAGATGGATCGTCTTCATAATGATCAAAGTGATCTCCTCCCAGGTCGTGATGTCTATCGTATTCTTCGAAATCTTCATCATCAGAAGTGTCTATTTTCTTCGAGAGAAGAGTTTGGAACTAATGATCAAGTGCTTCGTCCCATGATGTAGAAACTGGATGTTTGGAAGACCAGGGTTTCTCATTATTCATAATATGCTCTAGGATTGATGCTGGATCTACTAGGTTAGCACTGGCCAGGATCCCTCGTATTTCCATATACTTTCCAGGATGGGACAACTCAAAGAATTTATTTCCTGGGTTATTATCATTCTGTTCGTGGATAAATGATAGTGGGGAGTGGTAGATCAATGACTGTTGCTGACAGAGAGCCGTGTGTGGTAAAAAGGAGCAAGGCCTCTTGAACATGACCACAACATAAGTTTTATAACAGATAGCTAATTGAGTCCGTTGATGTGCTAGGAGGAACCATTGGAGAAGGGTAAATACATTCCGTGCCCCTGGGGTGGACCCTTGAACTGACATTGGAAAATGTAGCTTAGTAGTTTGGCAGAGGTGAAGGATATCGCGATGGTGTGAGACTCAAATAGATACAAAAAAACTAAGTGCTTCTTTTGGGAACCTTTGTAAGTCATGGACATGGAAGACATTGAGGAAAGGGTAGTCAGGATGGAATCGGAGGTTTCTCATGAACATGCCATGTTTCTTGAGCGTGATAATGAAAAACGTTTTGTAATTCAGTTGAGACCTTTCTCTTAAGGTAAGGTCGACAATCGTTTCCATTATCTCATCTGGTAAGTTGTGGTGGAGTTGTGATATCTTCAACTGGATTGATTTGTTGCGGAGGTTGAGAAGTGTTTAGAATAAACGAGCGGCAAGAGCTTGCTTTCTCAATGGGGAACACAATTGGAAGGACCTTGGCTTTGTGAACTATCTGGATGACTTTTGGAACATCATACTTATAGTCCTTTGGCCTGGACAGCAAATCTGCTAGAATATTTTCTGACCCCATGACGTGTTTCACAGTAAATTTCCATTGAGAGAACCAATTCGCCCACCTCAAAAGTTGGGCTTTCGGGAGTATCTTTCTTTTAAAATGGAGCATGCGTGGGAAAGAAGAAATATCCATTTCGATCTGGAAGTGATGACCGATTAGATGAAATTGGAATCTTTCTATTCCCCTCTTGACTACTAAAATTTCCTTGAAGGTAGAGTGGTAGTGTTGCTCCGAATCTTTAAACGTGTCGTGTTTTTGTATCCACAAATTGTTCTGACACCAGCTTTGTCTTGAACTATTAGGACTGCTCCAAGTACTCATCACTTGTGTCAGTTTGGAGGATTATTTTGTCAGTAACAGTGGGAATCTTTAAAGGAGGCGTCACATCAGCTAGCTGCTTTATCTTTTTTATAGCTAATGTCTGTTTTTCACTCCAAGGGGGCTTACTTTTCTTCAACATGGGGAATAAGTGCATAGTGTGGCTCAATAATTTAGGCAAAAAATATGCCATATAATTTACTAGCCCAAGAAAATTGTTGAATTTCATTTTGTGACGTCAGTATCCCAAGCACTGATTCAGACACTTAATTCAGACACTTGACCAGATTGAGCCAGTTGACATCTCAGATCTAGAATCCCTCTATTCTTTTGATGATGAACTTGATGACCAGACGTTATGTTCAATTGCCTATTCGGACTC